GCTGTTGTACTTCGTTCAGTTGCATTATTGCTATGCGTTTGCTGCACCAAACTCTCAATTAACAATACGCATCGAGTTAATGCGCATCAACTGCTGCTATATTATTATTAACGTGGTATATTAAATATCGCGGCCCAACCGCGACCGTGTAATCGTCGTACAAAACATGCAGTCTCACTCGAACGGAACTTCTAATGACGTATCTATGAGATAGACTATCTTCGGCTCGTCAATTGCTTGTCCGTCATGCGACATCAGTATGCACTATTCGTAATGGTATCGTCAGACTAAGTGTATCATGGCACGTCGAAATAGCAAGGAAATTGCCTCTAGACAAAATTTGGGGTGAATAGCGTGGGTATGGTACCTGGGTACTGGACTAAGGATTTATGCGATAAAAAGATTTTAATATAACATTCATACTATTATGGCTCAATAATATGAGTAAAAATATATATATTTAAATTAAAAGCTGTGGATACATATGGGTGGTCGCCGAACGTGTTCTCAACCACACCGAGTTCAAAATATTGGCATATTTTCAGTCAGCATTTATCAATACATCAGCATTAGTCAATTTGCAACAATTTGAAGCTTTTGGTTTAATCGTAAAATAAAAAGTCAGACGGGGCTGAAGACCCGTGTCTCCTTCCACTCATATCGTTGATTGAAAACACATTTCGTTCAAATATGTCTCTCGAGCCATCATTTAGCTGCAGTCAATCAGCAACGATTTATGGTCGAAATTCGCAAACCAATTCATCGTCCGTAAGACTCGGCACGCCGCTCACAACGCGCGATGGGCCATCGCGGACACTGACATCGTAACTGGCCGTCGACGCTCCGCGGTGGACATCACAACCCGGCGGCGTGGTGAGGGCCGAGAGCGAACGGCGGTCGGGCCGGGCCCACATCGCGGCGCGCGCGGCATGCGCGCCCCCTGTATGAAATGCGAATAACTCTGGAAGGGATAAAGCACTAACGACGGGGTTTAAAGCACTAACGTGCACTAACGAAGCACAAACGATCGCCCTGGGTTTGAATTCAAAATTCAAAATGGGGGGTGCCAGCGACATGGACCTTTATTCATATTTTTATTTAGTTAATAATGTAAGGAACAATTTTAAACACTTTAAATTAAGTATTACATTTGAGATGACATGTTTGTTAACTTGTATCTGATATTTTATATCAATAAAAATAATCGTACAAGTACTTACACAATTTATTCATTATCTTATACATAGCTATTTTGTTAAAAAGGCACTAAAGCAGAATATATATATATGAAAAGTAAAAACAATATTGTATTTTAAAAAATGGCATTTAGTCTAAATATACAAATTAACGATGTTACCGCCGTAAAATTATATTTTATAACGTGTACATAGTATTATGTATTCAATATTACATATTATAAATTCATAGATCCAATAAATTATAAGTAAATTTGTCAACTTATTTCTAAACTAATATTATTGATTAACAATTTGACGCATCGGTAATAATAATTTGTCTATGTTAAACAATTAAATTGATTTTATATTTTACATATTATTATTATAATTGCATAATACATATTAATGACTTTTATTTACATAAGGCATATATTATTATACTGAAATATTTCCTTAAAATTATTATACTAATTATAATGATATTGGTAACGCGATGTGAATATAGTTTAGGCAGATAGTAAATAAAACATGTTAATAAGTAATAACCAATAATGTATACTAGGTAGATACTGTAAGTAAAAATGAATACACCTCCTAATAAAGGTATTGAGCGAAAAAAATGTTATAAATTAATCTAAAAAGTAATAAATGAATTTTTGTGTAATTTTATTTGGTCATACAAAAAAAATTAATTTATTTAATGTATGACAAATTTGAATTTATTGAAATTTAAAATCAACCATGAAAAGTAGTCGTTTAAAAAGAAAATAATACTTTAAAAAAACGAAAATTTTTATTTGATAAACACAATTTTTATATTAAAAAATATTTAACATGATTTTAAAATATTTCATATACCGATATAATGGAGTTTTTTTTTATTATTGTAGTATTTGATAACTTGCAAATCATATCAATTTGATAATATTATACATTTTATTTTTTGAAAAGTTGTTAACTTAGTTCTTGATTTATACTTTTTTTCTTTATAATATTTAGAAAAAATATATATAATTCAATATTATATAATTATGTAATAAGATAACGACTGAAAGTTAATATTGCTGGTTAAAGTCAATAAAAATAGGTAGTTAGCGCTATGAATTTGTTTTCGTAATATTATTTTAAAATTAGTTTATCTATTTAAGTTTATAAATCATATTAAATATCTTTTAAAATAGAAAATTATGTAAAACAATGGAGTATAAAAATTATCATGATAATAAATAAATCAAATGACGAAAAATATGTAATTTAATTTAATTTCAATTATCAACTAATATATTACAGACGTTGGTTTTATTTGTTATGAAACGTTAAAAATAACTAGAAAATGGCTAACACTCACTTTCATATTTTGAAATAATTTTCATACAATAAAAATAGCTCTTCTCAAAATAATACATTATCTTACTCTCGATTGTTAATATAAAAGAAAAAAAAAACAAACTGAAAATGAAAATGTATTTCGACACAATTTTTGATACAAATCAAAATAACACTTAAACAATTACTGTACACGCGAGTAATTCAGAAAACTCGTTTGCAGTCACGAGTGTCCTCTCGTTTTTAATCTAATTCAGACTTTTTTCTAACATTTTTTAAAACTTAAACTAATTTAATTTATGTGGAATTCGTATCCACAACGTTTGGGTACATCCGATCGTTTCGCATAAAAATCGTACAATGATGGCGCGTGCATTGTTGAAACAGTAATAAAACGGTAGCGATCAGAAAGGAAAAAAAAATGTTAAAAAAAGAAAGAAATTAAACGACAACGACAAATGACTAAAATGTATTCGTTTTCGTGTCGCTATCGTCGGACGGTCGTTCCGGCGAATGCTGCAACTTCCCCCCTCCCCCAAATCGACTCATAATATTAACACGCTATATCAAAATCGTCATCGCCGTGACGGCGTCCGGAAAAAAACGGGATTCCGGGTCGTCGTCTTGTGGCCGTGCTAACAGGACCTGACCAACAGGCTTGGCCCGGGCGTGAGTCGATGGCCGACGGATGACGATTGCGGGTCGGACGCAAACGTCGTCATGCTGATGGTCACGGAGCTGCTGGTCGTCGGCCGAGACGACGTCATCGGTAGCTCGGCGGGACGATGGCCCGTGTACAGCTCTTGTCAGTCTGGGTCGTGATGGCAGTCCAGCCAAGCGATCGCTCCCACCGCGAACAGGATGAGAGACGTCAGTATCAAATGAACGATAGCCATCCAAAACAACGTCGGGTTAGAGCTGAAAAATTAATATCGACATACTATTTATTATTATAGTTGGATTGCGAGGGGAGCAAGCGCGCGATTCACGAAATACAAAACGAGTACCTAAATCATAAGATATAAATATTATATATAAATAAAAAAAAATAAAAATATATATATATGTATACACATATCTTATGATATAAATCATAAGATATATTATTATTATGTCATTCACACTGCAGGTCAAGCCGACAAAACGGTACCCACGCAAAAAAACATAATATCGATAAATTACGCATTATTAAAAAAAATATATTTCGTATTTACTAAGTTGAAATTTGCAAAATATTGCGCAAAAGGTGTGATTATTTTTCTCGCAAATAACATGTTAACATTTACTGTCTTTGTGTTTGAAAGAGCCGTCGAATTACCATAACATTATGACGCTCGAAGAGTAGCTACTCAGTATTATTTTTGTCTAGTATTAGAAATAATGATATAGTGGCTGCAGTACAATCACAAAAGTAGATTTATTAATTTTATAACGATTATACGGCTTTAATTTTTCTATTATTTAATATTTCTATTTCATCCTCTTTCAATTCTATACCTACGTCCGTTTTTCAGTGTATTACTAATTTATTTACAATTTTTAAGCATCAAAATCCTGCGCATCGATTTGGTAAATTTGGTTGATGAGTGAATTTGTTTTAATAACTGCATACTATAAATAGACTATTAAACTGATGTCTGATACAGAACTACCACGGCTCAAGTGGAATAGATTAATGTATGTAGTTTTTAAACGGTATAATCGGCTGGTGGGAACTTTCGCAAGGTTTTATCCTGAGACTTATAATCAGTAGTATTACGCGTATTAAATGAGAAAGGCGATTAATGTAAAACAGCGGAAATATTGAATTCTAGAAAATGGTAAAACCACGTTTAATACCCTTTCTGTGCCTTGTAGTCAATGGATTTGGTTATAAATCTGCCTGAAGGAAAACACTGACATATAATGACATTAAAAAAAGTGTGAATGATTTGAAACGAAAACTTTGTGGTTTTAAGGGTGTAATAATATCAAAGTTTTTTAAAGAGATGATAGATATATTCGTAAATAAAATCGATAAAAAAACTACAAATAAACAAATATCGTTCTAAAAATTTCGGGTATTAATATTTATATTTTCAGCGATTGACTAAGTCTTAGCCTTTAGCGTTTTTATAATATTATTCGTGTAGTATAAACGAAATATTTTAATGAAAAAAAAAAAAAAACTTGTAGGTACGTCTGTATAGTATTTATGAAAATAAAATATTGCTACATAAAGAAAATGCATATTTATGTGTATAAAAACATGCACCAACACAAACAAAACGTTTATAATTCCGGAAGTACGGATAAATCAGAAAATTCTATGTAATAAAGCGATATCTTCATAAATACTTGACCAAAATCAAAATTTTATAATGCATAAAGAAAATTAAACGATAATATATTATTAAATAGTAAAATTAAAAAAAAAAATTAAAAAAATATAAATAACTTAATTTTTTAAAAACAAAATCAAATCTACACGACATAGAAAATATTATCTTTCACGTCATTTGTAAACTAATTTTTTTAACTACGACTGCCCTACCCTCATCCAAATGCAAATTCTAAAAATTATTTTGCAAGTATTTTATTATTAAAAAAAGGTTCATCGCGTTTGACGGAGTGAAATCGGGTGCTTAAATATAAATATTTATATACATTTTTTATGAACACTGACCATAAATACAAATTTAAGCTTTAATAATGTATTTATGTATGTCAGTGCTTGTGCGCACTGGTCGGGTGACAAATTATTATATAGGCCACATACCCATTTTAACATCTTCCACACACCTAAGCGGAGACGATGTCGCGGCGTTCGGTAAATCGATTCATTATTGATGTTTGAAAATTGCATAAGACATAAAATCGTCAAATAATATTTCAATAACATTTTGGCTTTTTTTTTTTTTTATATATATAATATTAGTTTCATTTTCACGTGTAAATATGTCGTTTTAACGATTGTTTTCTTTAATATTTTTAAAAATATTATTTAAAATTGTTCACGTCGATATTCTCGATACAGTATATTATTCAACGTTTAAAACGATTCTATTAAAACTATACTGCAGAATGCTTTTGACGCGAGACGACATCGCTCGTAACGCTAACGAACAGCCGTCTCGCGATGTGCATCCATCGTCTCGGATACGCCTGTCCGCGACCTCGGTGGGTCGACCCCGCTGTTCGCGCTGTTCCGAAGCGGAATAGTCGTCGCGGCCGCCTTGTCGCATCGATAGCGCTTTACGGTGTTACGGTGGACACGTTGTTATTATTATTATGTCGTCCGTCGTGGTCGAGTCGGCCGCCGTTGACGCGCGTCCCGGACGGCCGTCCACGCGGATCGCGACAATAATCATTCCGCAACGTCGTCACATTTGGCCGGCCAGCGGTGGCGGCCACGCTGTACAGTCGTTGTGGCGGCCGCCTTTCATCTCGCCGCCGCGCTAAATTCGTCACCAGTGCCATTGCCGCCGACGTATCGATTGTCGCGACGCCGCCGCGCCGTTCCGTATCGAGTCATCGCTCGCCGCCGCGCTCGGTTTTGCGTAATTTTATTTCATAATATAATATTATAGTAATTAATTACAGTTTGACAGCATTACGGTGATGTTTCGTCACTGTGTTGTCGTCGTCGTGTCGTCTCATTTCATAATTTTACATCGTGGTTCGTATGATTCGTGTGTACTCACATGGAACAAAGTGGCGTAGCCAGAACTTTTTAATGTGGGGGGAGGGGGGTAAAGTTTAAGTATATGCTAGGAATGGACAAATTATAACGGGCCAGAACATAGAGAACAAAAAAAAAGTCATTCAAAATATGCTGCACATTTGAATTAGAATTGTTTTGTTGATAATGTAAAAGTATTTGAACTTCGTAACATTAACCTTAGTCTTCTCATTTTGATCGCTAGTTTACTGAATATTTAAAAATATTAAAATAATCATGAGGGGGGGGGGGGGTTAAAACACCTAAAACCCCCTTGGCTATGTCACTGCATGTACTTACTGTGCATATAAGTATTCGAACACGACCATACCGTACGGTACACATAGTGCTTAGTCGCGATTCACGTCTTCTTCAGTAGAGTAATAATTCAAAGGGGTACTTAATACTTATCAATTATTATGTGCCATACATTTTAAAACCGTTGTATTTTTAACGTTTGTGCATATTTAGTTTGAGAGCTTAAAATTCATTTTTTGTTAATCCTGTGACAGCTGTCATTGTATTCAAGGATGTACAAAGATGTTGTGTAACGATAATAATAAAACAAAAAATCAATGGTTTCTTTTAAAGCGAACCCATATTGCTATTGCCACGAAAGAACCCTTCAAATTGTCCATGTGTGTTCTTGTCCCTTACATAATGTGATTAGAGTAGGTCAATTTTCAGACCTAATTTGAATAAATTGTTGGAAAAGCTTGAAAATGGCCAGGAATATCGAACCATTCACGAGAATTAATTATACTATTTGTTAACATATTTCAACTTGATATAGGTAGGTACTTAAATTTTTCGATCAAATACAGTATACCTACCTAAATTATGTACATTTTTCGTTTGTTTACAGAGCAATTTCGTTAGAATGTAGGTACAATTAATGCCAATAAGTATATTTACGATAAAATAATTCAAATTATTAAATTCAAATTGGAAAATGTTTAATCAAATACCTACTTATTATCAGCTAGATGTGACAACCTTCACTTATTTCTTCTTTTCCTTTCCGATATTAATGACAATAAAACTACTTCTTATCGAAAATTGTAGACGTATTCACGCTTGATTAATTCGTATTCACGACACAGACACATTCGGTCTTTTTGGGGGATTTATATATTTTGACGAAATATTCTGTTTTTAAAGAATGTATGTTAAATTGTTTCTTCTGGTAACTATTTATATTCTATTAATTTATCAATAAAATTATATATTGTATTAATTCTATCATATTTCATTTATGTCAAAACAGTTACAAGTAAATAGACATTAGTCAGAGCTTTAAGCTGCATTAAATGCTAATAAATAAATTATTAGTAATTAATCTAATATTGTCAATTCATATTCATTATGCATTTACCAATACATATTATATATATGAAAATATTTTAATACTTATTTATTCAACTAAAAGAACAAGATTAGATATAAAATCTGAGGAATTTATATAGACTGTCATCTTTTAATATACGAGTACCAAATTCATAACTTTTAATGATACCTACTGCGAAGTCAATTAAACTTTTTTTTACAGTTTTTTTTTTTTAATCGGTTTTTGTGCTTACTACCTAGCGTTTTTTTTTCTTTAAACGTTGATTGTAGAATAATTAATTTTTGTTCATTACCTTGTAAAGTAAATTAAATTGTAATTTTATTTTAAAATCATTTATTAACAAATTATTTTTATTTACTGTTTTATTGACAATGCATTATACCTCCATAGTGAAAACAAATAATGGCATTTTCGACATAAAATAAATTCAGTTATTGATTTTATATCATAAAAATTGTTTACAATATTGTAATATAATAAAATGTAATTTTAAATTTTAATTTTGACCCGGTTTTATAAAAATATTTCAATGTACGATGATTAAGTATGAGGAAATCAATTTTTCGAGGAGAGTGCTTGAAAAGTTAATCTCGTTCTTTATAATATGTTGTGCAAATATTGTCATGGTATTTATTTTGAATCAAAACTAGTCAGTTTACAATAGGTATCGATATATTTTGTAAGCATTTCTCACGGTGTAGTGCAATCAGAAAGTAGTCGTATTGAATTACTTATTCGGTATTCCGTCTCTAAAATTATTTTGTGATGCTGATGAGATAATAACGTCACACGTCTGTAACTTCTACGGTTGAAGGCAATATTATTATAATATTCTGTTGACGGTTTTAGTGTATTAATCTGTGAATATAA